GTGTGCAGACACATTCCAACCGGAATTGGCTGCCTGTAGCAGAGCTGCGCAACTCGTTGATGAAAGTCTTGGAACCCTCCACGGAGGTTGGGTTCAACCACAAAATGTGTTGTGACATGAGTTGTTTTTGTGACCGAGTTTGAATGTTTGTCACATGGTGCGATGTTGTAGAATGATGGCGGTTTTGTGGTGGCAGTGTGTCGGATGCCGCAGGTGGAAGAGGCATCGGCTGCCAAATTGGAAGAACTTCGCCTTGGGGCTGTTTCACAGGGCAAGGAGTGGCTCAGTCGTTCTTTGTCGGAAATGTCAGCTCGTCAGCTTCGAGTTCTGGCTGCTGCGGGTGGTGCGAAGACGAAGTCTGACGGGAATTGGCTGCCTGTAGCAGAGCTGCGCAACTCGTTGATGAAAGTCTTGGAACCCTCCACGGAGGTTGGGTTCAACCAAAAAATGTGTTGTGACATGAGTTGTTTTTGTGACCGAATTTGAATGTTTGTCACATGGTGCGATGTTGTAGGATGATGGTGGTTTTGTGGTGGCAGTGTGTCGGATGCCGTAGGTGGAAGAGGCATCGGCTGCCAAATTGGAAGAACTTCGCCTTGGAGCTGTTTCACAGGGCAAGGAGTGGCTGCGTCGTTCTTTGTCGGAAATGTCAGCTCGTCAGCTTCGAGTTCTGGCTGCTGCGGGTGGTGCGAAGACAAAGTCTGACGGGATTTGGCTGCCTGTAGGAGAGGTGCGCAACTCGTTGATGAAAGTCCTGGAACCCTCCACGGAGGTTGGGTTCAACCAAAAAATGTGTTGTGACATGAGTTGTTTTTGTGACCGAATTTGCATGTTTGTCAGACATGGCATCATGTTTGTGACATACCAGGGATCGACAAACAAATATCTTCAACATTTGTTGCATCTCTTTAGGTCTCTGTAGGGGCTGTCCGTGAGATCTCGAGAATTGCATAGTGATCATGCCAATTTTCGTTTGTGATGTAGTGGATCTATGTGTTATTATTTCATTGATATGCATGAGGAGCGGGAAAAAAATGTAGGATGATGGTTGTTTTGTGGTGGCGGTGTGTTCCATGCTGTAGGTGGACGAAGCATCGGCTGCCAAATTGGAAGAACTTCACCTTGGAGCTGTTTCAGAGGGTGAGGAGTGGCTCCATCGTGCTTTGTACAAAATACCTGCAGAGGAGCTTCGAGTCCTGGCCACTGCGGGTGGTGTGGAGACACATTCCAACCGGAATTGGTTGCCTGTAGCAGAGCTGCGCAGATCGTTGATGAAAGTCTTGGCGACTTCCACGGAGGTTGGGTGCAATAAAAAAAGGCATCTTGAAGTTTTTATAGGAGCTGCTTGTGAGATCTCGAGAATTGAATAGTGATTATGCCGGCAAGTCCGGCTGTTTTTTTATTTTTATTTTTTAAGCAGGAGCCGTGTCACGATGATACCCTTGCATCTGGTGCAAGTGTCTTGTGGGGCTGGCTGAAACGATGTTTGGAAAGTCCTGCGGCGCCTGATACTACATTGCTTCGAGATGCTGTTCCAGAACAAAAAGATCGCATGCGTATTTTGGCGGTTTTGGCCGACAAGACCATGGGTCAGGTGGAGGGATTGCATCTTTCGCTTGCTTCTTTGGATGCTCGTGTGGTGGATGCGACGTTGCCGCTTCTTGCTACTTTCGATGAAGTGCAGCAATCGTGGCCCAGCAAAGCTGTCACGGATTCTGTTGATTTATTGGATTTACCAGGTTACTTCGCTTCCATTGGCATGGAGCATTTGCTGCGGCATCAGGTCGTGGCATTGTTGTCCTGTGTTTTGCTGAGTGTATCGGAAGAAAGACGACTTCAATGGTGTCGTTTGGTTGGGTTCACCATCGACGCGGACATGTTGGAAGTGGCGAGCCGTTTGTGGGATGTCCACACACTTACAGCTGCTTGTGAATGGGACAGTTCTGGTGGTTATGAGGATCGTGACAATGTGGTGGAGGTGAGTGGTTGTCGAAACTATTGTATGGCCTGCGTTAGTTTTTTTTTTGTGTCTTGCCGGTTCGCGGTGGTTTGGTCTTTGCGTTGCTTGCAGGTGGTCCTTGGCATCCTGTGGGGCACGAAAGCGTTGGTGGTGGATGATGAGGGCGAGGTGCGCCGGCGTCGAGGTAAGTTGGATGCTGCAGACGCGACGTACCTGCGATGCCTGATGCGGAGATATGGTTGGGAAAGATTTGACCAGGACGTGGAGGTGTGCTATTGGTCCGAATGTTTTCCATCTGCTCGCTATGGGAACAAGAAGTGTTTACAGTTTGCTTGGCTTTTGCTGACGCAGTTACTTCATCCTCGCCAGACGCCTGCATTGCAAGCTATGCGCTCACGTCACGATCCAGTGACGGTCGGAGAACTCCGTGATTCCAGGACGAGTGCGTGTCGTTGTTGTGTGTTTTGTGTACTTTTCTTACCTTTGTCACCTTTGCGAATAACAACATCATGGTACCGAGTTTTTTTTTGGCAATTTATGTGGGTATTCGCATGCTAAAATGAATTATCATGTGTTATACACGGCATCATGGTACCGAGTTGTTTTGTCCCATTTATGGGGAAATGTCCATAATAAAATGACATGACATATGTCATAGATGGCATCATGTTTGTGAAATACCAAGGATCGACAAACAAATATCTTCAACATTTGTTGCATCTCTTGAGGTCTCTGTAGGGGCTGTCCGTGAGATCTCCAGAATTGCTCATGTAAAGCATAATGGTACCGAGCTTTTTCCCGAGAGCGCCTGCGAAGGGTTCTTCGTAAAAAAGCAGCCGTTATACTACATCTTCACACCTTCACATCTGCTGATCTACATCTTCACACCTTCACACCTGCAGATCTAGATCTTCACAACTTCACACCTGCAGACCTAGATCTTCACACCTTCACACCTGCAGATCTAGATCTTCACACCTTCACACCTGCAGATCTAGATCTTCACACCCTCACATCTGGACATCTAGATCTTCATACCTTCACACCTGCAGATCTAGATCTTCACCCTCACACCTGCAGATCTAGATCTTCACACCCTGACATCTGCAGATCTAGATCTTCACACCTTCACATCTGCAGATCTAGATCTTCACACCCTCACACCTGCAGATCTAGATCTTCACACCCTCACACCTGCAGATCTAGATCTTCACACCCTCACATCTGCAGATCTACATCATCACACCCTCACATCTGGACATCTAGATCTTCATACCTTCACATCTGCAGATCTACATCATCACACCCGCACACCTGCAGATCTAGATCTTCACACCCTCACACCTGCAGATCTAGATCTTCACACCTTCACATCTGCAGATCTCTTCTCGCTCTTCTTCTATTCTCTCTTAAGGCGGGGGCGGTGCTGCCGGAGCGCCACGAAACGCAACCCTTTCGCACGAAATGGACGTTGGACGTCCAAAACCTAGGTAAAATTGCGATTTTGAAGCGTCGCCGGCAACCCTTTCGCACGAAATGGACGTTGGACGCCAAAAACTGAGGAAAAATTGCAACTTTTATTGGTCGCGCGCAACCCTTTCGCACGAAATGGACGTTGGACGTCAAAAACTGAGGAAAATTGCAACTTTGAGGTGTCGCGCGCAACCCTTTCGCACGAAATGGACGTTGGACGTCAAAAACTGAGGAAAAATTGCAACTTTGAGGTGTCGCGCACAACCCTTTCGCACGAAATGGACGTTGGACGTCAAAAACTGAGGAAAAATTGCAACTTTGAGGTGTCGCGCGCAACCCTTTCGCACGAAATGGACGTTGGACGTCAAAAACTGAGGAAAAATTGCGACTTTGGGTTGTCAATCGCAACCCTTACACACGAAATGGACGTTGGACGTCAAAAACTGAGGAAAAATTGCGACTTTGAGTTGTCAATCGCAACCCTTACGCACGAAATGGACGTTGGACGTCAAAAACTGAGGAAAAATTGCGACTTTACTTTGTCAATCGCAACCCTTACGCACGAAATGGACGTTGGACGTCAAAAACTGAGGAAAAAATGCGACTTTACTTTGTTATTCGCAGCCCTTATGCACGAAATGGACGTTGGACGTTAAAAACTGAGGTAAAATTGCCATGGACACTTTCGTTTATGTAAAAGCGTCTGTGTGTAAAAGCGTCTGTGTGTAAAAGCGTCTGTGTGTAAAAGCGTCTGTGTGTAAAAGGCTCTGTGTGTAAAAGCGTCTGTGTGTAAAAGCGTCTGTGTGTAAAAGAGCCTATGTGTAAAAAGCGTTTGTGTGTAAAAGTCTCTGTCTGTAAAAGCGTCTGTGTGTAAAAGCGTCTGTGTGTAAAAGCTTCTGTGTGTAAAAGCTTCTGTGTGTAAAAGCGTTTGTGTGTAAACGTGTCTGTGTGTAAAAGCGTCTGTGTGTAAAAGCGTCTGTGTGTAAAAGCGTCTGTGTGTAAAAGCGTCTGTGTGTAAAAGAACCTATGTGTAAAAAGCGTTTGTGTGTAAAAGCGTCTGTGTGTAAAAGCGTCTGTGTGTAAAAGCGTCTGTGTGTAAAAGCGTCTGTGTGTAAAAGACTGTGTGCAAAAGCGTCTGTGTGTAAAAGCGTCTGTGTGTAAAAGCTTCTGTGTGGAAAAGCGTCTGTGTGTAAAAGCGTCTGTGTGTAAAAGTGTTTGTGTGTAAAAGTGTTTGCGTGTAAAAGCCTCTGTGTGTAAAAGCGTCTGTGTGTAAAAGCGTCTGTGTGTAAAAGTCTCTGTGTGTAAAAGTCTCTGTGTGTAAAAGTCTCTGTGTGCAAAAGCGTCTGTCTGTAAAAAGTTCTGTGTATGAAAAACTTTACAAAAATACGATGCAAACTATTGTCTTGTACTAGTCATATATTGTCTTGATACTACTCTTCTCGTCTGCCTATAATACATCTTTAATATATTATCTTGTAATATAGTGTCTCCATACTAACAACAGAAGACTCTGCTCCTCTACGCTCTCGGGCCATCCGTCGTCTAGTTTGAGCTGCAGCTAAGTTTCTTGCATACCGTGGAATGTCGCGCAGCGTGCGTTTCATCAGTTGCACCATCTGAAAACAAGCCAGATAGTTCCAAGGCATAGTCCAAGGGCGTCCGTTGCGTGTGTAGCTCACATACGTCTCCCTTCTCAAAATCAAATGGATCTTCGATGTTGAAGCCTTCCAACTCAAGGTTCAAAAGCACCCATTCTTCCTTATCAGAGAAGCAGCATGAAGCTACACATCCTTGAGGTATTTTGTCATAATGATCACAGCATGTCACAGCTAACGTTTCCACAAGTCTATTGCGGGCAAAAGTGCTACAGAACTGCACAGCTTTTGCAGCAGCAAACCGACTTCAGGATGCTGTTCAAAGTTCTACTGCGATAGCAGGCTTAGCATGCAATGAATAACTAAACCTAACCCAAAGCCAGCGTGAGCATTCAAAAGCAATCGTTAGCCAGGCTGGCCGCAAACAGACCCAGAGTGATCAAAAGGACGGAGGTGCACTACAAATCAACAACGTGGACCCCAATATGAAACAACCAGAAACAAGTGCGTAGGCAAGGCCATACAAAGAGTCATTGTGAAGAAGAATTAGCAGCTTCCGTATTACCGCATGGGTAAACTTGAATCGTATGAGTCATATGAGGGCTCATTGTAAACTCGAAACACATACTATCTCTAGCCCTGGATGGAAAGTACCATCGCGGTGCTAGATTTCTTAAGCTTTTGCAGGAAACTACCACCAAGTTCTCCCCATATAGTTTATACCATCGTGTAGTCGCTCTCACCAAAATCCTGAATCTTATATGACTTGTGTTGCTTGTGTCATTCCTGAACTTCACAGAAACTTATGAAAGCACTGGATATGAACAGTTTGTGCTAAAACATGACCAGACTCTCTTGCAGCAGATGTATTTCTTGATCCAGGCAGGCCCTCCAGGCCACTTCGCGCCTCCAATGCCCAGTATCTTAGAGTTCCTGGGTCAGCAGGGACTAGAAACTGTTGAATCAGCGTTGACTCATCCTGTGAGTAATATCATAATATTAATATTATATATATATAATATATTATAAAGACATATATGCACATGTGTTTGTGTGTGTGTGTGTCTCACATGTTGCATTGTACTGTCATACTGCAATTGCGTGGCGTAGACCATCTTTAGGGCTTGGTATGAGACATTGAGCATGATGAGCATGATTGAGCAAGTTCTAGTGCCAGCACCACAGTCATTTAAGTCGGGACACGATTGGACTGCTGCTTGCCTTTTGACTTTGAACTGAGGCTGCGGGGAATGTCCTGTTCCGGTAGATCCTGTCTTGACCACCGAAATCCATCTAATCGTTCAGGTCGCTCAAAACCAACATGCCACGTAACCATCTCGGAGACGGACTCCTTCGAGACTCAAAATGCCAGGAGTCACGGTGAAATCACTGTTGAAGGGAGATCAAGGGAGGCTAAGTACAATGTTACAAGTAGCCGGAATGGACATCTGAAAGCTCTGAATGTCACTCTTGAGGCTTGGGATAGCGTGAGTTTCAGACCTTGGGGGCGCTTGTGATGAAAGTACCGGGATTCTCCTGCCGCATCCCCAGACAGGTTGGCATGTCTTGGAGCGGTAAAATCGCAGCTCTACCTGGAGGATTCTGTACTGTCTTTCGCCAACAAAACTCTGGGAACGGAATGTTCACATCTCCATCTGCTGTAGTGTAGGCCTCGCGTGATTGCCACAAGTGACATGTGAAAGAGTGCAGGCACATGAAAATCACCAGAATGCTCCCAAGGTTTTGTTCAAATAGTGGGCTGAGGACGCACAAGCTACTGCAGATTCTACTTGTCTGGAAGGCACGCAATGCCGAGCAGGCCTCTCAAAATTAGATAAAATTAACAACAAGGTATGACCTCTTCATACTTTTCAATATCTTCAACACCGAAGGAACCAAGAAAGAGTTACAGTACTACTGTCGCATCTTGCCTCTGAGTCCTTCAGTCACATGTTTAATTCAAGCCATTTCAAGCCCAACCAAGCCTTCTCCAGTTCTGGCTTTGAGGGTTTCACGATGGTCACCCGGAAGTCGTGGAAGGCAAGCTGGTCATATACAACGACTTGGGCTCCATGTTGGAGAAGCCACTCCACGTCTGCATAGTGGCCATACATCGCGGAGTAATGTAAAAGCACCTGTCCAGCCACCAAGTCGAAAAGTGTTGCAAAAACATGCAAAAACATTATAAGATATTATAAGTTCAGTCTGGGTTCAGTAGTCTTGCAGAAGGATCTGGATGATTTTGGATTATCAGTATTCAGTCTTGGAAACATTTCATTATATACATTTGATTACATGTTACTGAATGTTATTGACCATATGGCACAAATCCTGACGATGAAAGTCCAAACCTGCAGGGGTCTGTATGGGGCCCAAGCCTTGTCATCATGGTCACGCATCAGGATCATAGCACGTTCGTCCAAAAGAAATTGTCTGTGGTAGCGATCCACAATTCGTGGGTAACCAGAATCGTTCTCCCTTTGCTCTTTTCTCTTTCGGTCCCTGCAGGGTCTTGAACTTCGGATGCTTCACATTGTCCGCCTTTCCCATTCCCTCCCAATATCATATTTATATATCTCATACTGTATTCTGTCCATACGAAGCCTTAAAATACGTTGAATATCGTTGAATATGAATATGTACACCAATGTGGCAGGTCTTGAAACATCTTGAAACTACGGAGATCTTCAATCGTTCACATCATCATCTTGGAATCTGAATTCTTCAGAGTTCCGATTACCGTCTTGGATGCACTCCGATCGCTTCCAGTCCTTTCCTGTATACAACCGAGGAAGTGGAACAACGGTGTAGCCAAACATCGCCAATTCATCCGTTCATATTCTTTCATATTCTTTTAGTTGTCTTCGATTTGAGAATAACGGAGCACTCCCGGGTGGCATTGTGGACTACCGAGTGCCTGTCCAGTTTGATGCGGTAGTCGAGAAAGATCAGGAGTCTGGCTAGTTCACGGCTTTCCTCGTCAACTGAAATGGCATAGCTTCCTCGGCTTGATGTATTTCACACCAAAAAATTGACTCTGAAGTTACACAAGACCTCAATGGCAAATAAGGAAATCATTGGTTTTACAGAATCAAGCTCATAACTGAACTCTGAACACAATCATCCTCATACTATATCATTATACAAGATTATATACAAGTCTGGCATCCTGCCGCAGATGCGAGACGACGTACAGTGGGAGAGCCGCCTGCCACTGTACCAGGCCTGGGGCTTGCAACATCTGAGGCTGCATCCTCCTGGCATGTCGCAGCGACATCTGACCGGAAACCAAAGAAGATCGAACAAATATGAACAAACAACAGCAAACAACAGCATCAACCGTTATAACCATTGTATGTTATTCAATATCAGTTGTATTCAGTATCACTTGTGACCAATGAGCTGTTAAGCTCAGTCGCACTCAGCCTGTAGTGCCAACCTTTAATCAACCATCTCTCATGTGCACAACCGGAGATCACCGGAGTAATGATGCAAAGTCCAGTCCGCAACTGATGTCAACCATGATGCAAAGCCAACCACTTCCGCATAAATTCACAGAGTAATAACGCATCTTCGGTGACACGTTCGTGAAGCATCAATGTCTTCGCTACTGCAGTGGTTACCTTTGGCCGTTTTTAGCTTTTCTTTTGAGCTCCTACAATCCCACTTTGGCCACACATAGTGACACAGGACATCAACTAGGCAAGCTTTGCATGGAATCAACAAGTGCTATTCGCAAGTTCAAAACGCCCAAGTTCTCACATCAACCTAACAACTCGCGAGGAGCGAGACTATGTACTACAGTCCGTGCGATGCAGCATTCCAATATATTCCAACACAATAGCAGTAGGAATTGTCATGAATCATAGGTCCTGATCGTCAAGTACCTTTGAGGCTTCACACAAATTACTGATTTGTAACACGCCTTTGCCCATGTGGTGACAAAGGAATACTATTACTAAGGATGCTTCCCCCAAGAGGACAGCCCCACTCAAGCCTGATGGAGGTCAAGGACGTCTTCACGCGTGCTATCTCCACTGCCAACAAGATCCAAGGGTGTTTCTCCAGTTCCTGTCTCTGCGTAATGAGCACTGTGTTCGAGAAGCTGCTTCGCAAGAGGCACATTTCGATATCTGCAGGCCAAATGCCACAGAGTTTCGCGATTGCCTCAGCGGTGCTGGCCCTTTCTGGACTCTCGTTTATTTTCCCCACGGACACACAATCCGGTCATGTTCCTTTAAGGCCAATCAAAGAACAATGACAGAAACCATGCACTTTGAATATATTTGAATATCCTCAAAATCACGGCGAAATGATGTTAAATGAGCTAGATGAGTTACAAAATGTTACAAATACTGTAGTTGAAATATGGTGTAAGCAATGGGTTAAAACATGTTAAACCATGTCACAAAATATTGACTGACTATGAATGATTCTGAATGTCAAATGTGTCATAGCACCTGGCGGGATGCCCCCGGTCGCTCAACTTTTGACACTGCGGCAGTGGGCTCATTGGGCGCCTGCTGCACAGCTCAGCAAATCAGCGGCCCTTTGTTGGGCTTCCTGTTTGTTTTGCCAAGCCAAGGACATTGATCGCAAAGGGTAAACATGGGTAAACTGAGTAAACCGAGTGACCTGAGTAGACTTTGCACGTAACATGCTCAGCAACATGCCTACACATCGGTTCCAACAGAGCATTCTGCTGTCCAGAAAGCTCTCTTCCAGAAGAAAGACCTTTCAAACTCTGAGATGGCATGAAAATAGCAAAAATGGAAAAACAAACTCACAGTAGAAAAATTGGGGAGCACATGTGGGTGAAGACGAAGGTCTGTTTGTCTATGTTTATCTTTGATGGATGGCCCTGTGTGATTTCATTATTATGTTGCGGAAGTTTCTTGGTTTCGACACAGCCTCATCTTCGCTATATACTTTGTTCATCTTTGTTCACCACATGGCCACAAACCACTCAGCTTGGAATTGTCAACATCAGATTAAGAACAGCAAGCATAGCAAGCATAGCAAGCCATCTATGTAGGGTCGAAAGCGGTACACCCTTCCTCCATCCCGACACTTGGATTATACTTTTTAGGATTATCTGATATTATCTGACTATCTAAGAGTTGAATGGAGTTGATAGGTCTGATAGGTCAAGGTCAGAAAAGCGGTAACATGCCAACTAACATGTCTTAACTGTAACTTCTTGCTGTGTCATGATTGTCATAGTCATGGAGCCGATGTCTGTCATAGGCACGGCAGCTCTGCTCACAGAACCGCACTCAGCGCGGCCTGGGTGCATTTCCTGCTCCAGCTTCCGACGGCCAACTACTTTCTGTAGAAAAGATTGAAAGACTTGACACATCTCCGACATCTCCTGCAAATTCAAACGAATGTTTAAAGATTGAATGTATTAGAGATTATATTGCAACAAAAATTCAAAAATATGTAGAGCAACTCAGCCTGGAAGCTGCAACTCGTGCCTGTACTAGTCTGGTCTCTGTAGCCAGAACGTCATATATAATTGAGAGATTGAAAGACGTTAAAAGCATCAGACCCAAATAAAAAGGCGACCCCAAAATGCTTCTGGGATCAACACTCCATGAAGTTTCCTGGCACACTTCAGGTTTATGAAGAAGGCTGCGGCAAGCAGCGCAGCGTCAAGAAAAAGGAGTTGCCCTACCGGAGTCTTGCGAAATCCACCAGAGCTGGAGTCCTGCCCGTGCCCTCCGTCGTGGCCTTTTCTGGCAAAGTCTTCGAGCTCTTCCGGTGGCAAGGCTGCCTGCATCTTGGCAACCTTCAAAGTTGTCAAAGTTGTCAAAGGTGCACATCGGAAGCCTTGAAAGTTTCGGTTGAGACCGCGAAGCTCCGTGGCTGAAAAGGTCAAGGCACCGAAGAAAAGAAGCACTGCCGGCAACGCTCCAATCCTGCGAGCCATGGCACAAGTTGACACAAGTTAGCACAAGCTACGCTGGCGATACTTTCAAGGGACTGGCCCACCAGAACAGCTAGTAGCTGAGTCTATAGGAGCTTTTTCAGGATGCGGTCTTGAGACTGAGATGCTGCGGCAACGTCTATAGCATGGACATCATGGAGATCAATATGAAATTGCGCCCTCTCTTCTTACTAATCACTATAGATCACATGAGATCATATGAGATTTGTATTGCCAGGCAGTAAGAAGATGTAGATTCATGCCGCATCGCCCTGTCTCTTCTTGCATCTTCCTGCCGCTATAAAGCACAGAACTTCGATCGCAAGAGCAATTCGATCTCTACACGTTTGCCATATCTTGCTGCGAAGGCCGCCGCAATATCTGGCAAGTCACTGCCATATCCACCATCGTCGTTGTTCATGAATTTCTGTCGTTGCTTCATTGGCCGCGTGAGAACCCATTCCTGGCGCCAAATCTTAACTCCACGTGTTCAACACATGTTTTGGATGCTGTCTCTTATCTTTGACTTCAGAAAAGGGAAAATTAATGCTGCGGCTCTCAAATGCTCTGTCCTTCAAAGGCATGTTTTCAATTAGAAGTTGTGGCTCTTCGACGGTCTCATTCTGGACATTTTGACGATGGTGCTTCTGACCTGCCAAGCTCCAGGAATTATCGGAAGTCCGCTGCAAGAGGATCAAGACGTCAACGAGGAATTAGTGATTTTTGATCACAAATCTTCATAAGACACGTCAAACTTCGAACTGCTTCAGATACAGAAGCGTCTTGCCGGTGGAAAACCAAACCCCGGTTCAACAGTTTCTGCATTTTCTGGCTTGAAATTGCACAAAATGGCCAAAGTCTTTTGAGGCCTGATGCTTTCAAGCGGAAGCCAGCCCTGCCAGCAGTCTTGTCAGCATGCTCCTCGGTCCTTACCACTTCAAAAGAAAGGCTAATCCAATCTTGAGACATAAAACGGGGGAAATAATACAGAAAAAAATATATGCTAAAAACTAAGTTGCAGAACGATGAACTATTTGGGTCATACCGGGTTCAAAGCTGCCCATGGGCCTTGGAGTTCCAGGGTCAGCGTGACTGGTGCTTACCACTATACCTTACCATGAGGAAAGGACACAAGTCCTCATTGTGGCACACCTACTATTTATACAGGATATGTATGTATATATATATATATAAATACATGGATATATAACTTAAGAATACCTAAGAAACAAAACAACATAAAACAACATAAAACAACACAAAACAACATAAAACAACATAAAACAACATAAAACAACATAAAACAACACAAAACAACATAAAACAACATAAAACAACATAAAACAACATAAAACAACATAAAACAACATAAAACAACATAAAACAACATAAAACAACATAAAACAACATAAAACAACATAAAACAACATAAACCAATAAAATAAAACAACACCAAGGATCGTTTCAAGCCTGAAGGCCACTGGGGCAACAGGGACTTCCAAACGCTTAAATCTCAAGCGGTGCTCCTTCATGCCCTTGAGTCTGGATGATTTATCCGCAAAACCGCCTAAAGCTGTCATATGTGTGACAGTCTCCATTGCATCTGTCATAGCCGCTTGTTCAACTGTATCTTCATCTTCAACATTCAAGCAAATCTTTGTGCCATTCCTGAGTTTCAGCGTGTTGAAACGGTGTTTTGCAGTGTGTTGCAGCTTATAGAAGAAAGGATACTTTTGAATACTCCGACAGCTCAATCATATATATATATATATATTACACATATTGTTGAATATATATATATATATATATACAGTATATATTTGAATAAACGGAAATTCCCAACATGTACTTTTTTTGGATGTCGGAGAAGGTCCACTTACAAAACACGCAGAAACTGGAGCTCAAAAAGCGCAAAAAAATGTGCAACTGCGCACACAACATGCAAAATGCGCACAAATAAGAGAAAAAGGTACAAATGCTTTGGATCTGAGCGTGTTGGGCGCATGAATTCGGCACAAACGTCCTGAAATATAAGGGTGGCGGAGAAGTTTGTTGAAACGTACCTGAAATTTACCATACCCAAAAACCAAAAACTATGCTACAAGTTACAAATGAAGCTGAAGATCCTGCCACTGCTATATATATATATACATAAACGTATACATATACATAGACATACGTATAGATATAGATATAGATATAGATATAGATATAGATATTGTGAACAAATGAATCCTTGTTCCGGATGTAGTCGAATGGTAGTACCTTATGTGCTGGTTGTTACCGAACCTTACCCAGGCATTGCAGTCAGCGCGCGGCCGTTTTCCTCTTGCGGGCGCTTGAGCCATAATGGCCGTAACATTGTCAATTGTTACATGTGCTACCGCTGTGTTCCCTTTGACACCCCCCATGCCCGCGGTATTCTTCGAACCACGGACACGAGAGAGGGAACTTTGAATTAGATTGTTTCTGTTACTTGAATTACGCCTATGTACATAAAACGTGCCATTCGGCTCCCCCTTTCCCACATACCCGACGGGAATAATGGTTCAGGGTTCGCCTACTCTCTGGCTGTCGATGCATCGGCGCTTCATCAAGCTGTACAACGCGAATTATTGCTAGCTAACATCTACTTTTCTACGTTGGCTAGGCATGCCACTCACCCGTCGGGAGAAATGGATCGCTTCGCTACCAAAGAGTTACAATGCTAACTAACGAATTCACGTGCACAGTGCAGAATTTCGTGCAGATTGGGAATATCAAAAGTCTTGAACCTAAGCGAATTAGTCTACTGCCTCGCTCAGAGTCCACTCAGTTGGTCTTTTCCTGATCATCTGTTCACAAAGACGATACACATCTTATAGTCCAGTGATCATTTTGACGGACAGAGGTAATTGGTTTACTGCTCACGGCGGACTTTCTTCCATTGAGGTGTTGTTGGAGATTTCTCCCATCCTGCCGCACGTTTTGGAGCAGCTTTCGGCGATGAGGGCTTCGCAGGCGGTGCCTTTGATGGTTCATGGGATCTCGGCATAGCCTTAGCCTTTGGTGCGCTAGCCGATGAGGATGATGCTGAACCAGTGCCTTCAGGTTTCTGTGAAGGTTGTGCTGATGATTTGGCTTTCGCGTCTGCGGTGGCAAACTTGGAAGCGGCAGTATGTCCGACTGCTTTGAATACTTCACTTACCACTTCGTCGCCAAGGGTTGGAGCCATCTTCATTTTCATCTCGGTCTTTCCCCTCTGCGCCTCGGCCTCAGCCAGTTGAATAGCATAAGCCATCTTGCTGACAAAGTTTTGAGGTAAAGGGATGCCACATTGTTGGGCAGCAAAGAGTATAGTTCCACTCTCTGTTCCTTCTCCCTCAGACTCAGATATACCGAGAAAGCTGGGAGTTCGATGCAGTTGGGGAAGCCGTGGCTCCCGGAGCGAAAGAATGTGTATGATTCGTGTTCTGGAAAGGTTCCTTTCAGCAGTCGTCGAAGAAAGTTGCTGATGGTCACCCGCATCTCCTGCTTCCCTTGGGCATCAGCCTGCATTCGGTTCATTGGCATGAGGAAACCTAATGACTCGGGAGTGTACCCGGCGCGTACCAGAAATTCCATCATCTTTTCATAGATCTCCAAAGTCTTGATGACAGGCATCATCATGTTTCTTGGTCGTCCTGAGTACATCTTCTCTCCCTCTGACCATGAGTTCCTTTTCCCTTTCTCCTGAAAGAGTTCGTCCAACTCCAGCTCTGTTGGTCGCTTGAGGTTGCCATCCTGGTCTTCGCCTGTGTAGGGGCAGAAGTCGTCCAGGTCCAGCCGGACTCGCTTGGTTTCCGTCATCATCTCATAGTACTCCTCTGGGGTCAGAGTGACTCTCTGTTTATAGTAGAGCCTGAACATTGTGATGACCTTTGACATGACGGCATTGTCATACAAGTGAGCCGCGGCTTCGGAGACATCATTGTTGATAAGTCCGTCTTCTGGCATACCCTTGCTGCCGCTCTCAAGATTCTTAGTCCATGCTGGAAGTTTGGAAGAAGGTTCGTTTTCAGGTTCGACGTCCATTTCATCGTCGTCTTCTTCA